ATTCAACAGATTGCTCTTTGTCCCTCCCTGATGGACACTGCTAGAGGAGCGGCCATGTTTACACTGTAACAGCAACAAGAAAAAACTGGTGCGATCAAGCTCAAACTTCGATCACAATGGTACCAATTATAAGCACGCCTCAACATAAGGCGGTGTGACCGACCTACATATATTTTATGGCGAAAGTGTAGATCATTTTTCACTTACCCTTTCCTAGGGAAGAGAAGAAATGGATTCACATCTTTCGCAAACTTATTTAAGCATGTAACGAATGAATGTAACGAACGTGACTAGAATTCACCACAGGTATCCGATTATTCATTCTGAGCTGTTGTCTATTAGCCACTCATGCGCATGTGTATATATATATATATATATATATATATATATATATATAGATATATTTGGTTGGATAGGTGCGAGTTCGTGACCCTGGGTTTCACGCTTTAGCGATCGTCAGACAAAATTTGAAAGCGTGAAACCCAGGGTCACAAACTCACATCTATCCAACCAAATATGTTAGCTCTATCTCTGATATTGAGCGCTTTCTAATAAGTACCGCGCATAAAATATGTAAATAATTATACATATATATATTTATTTATATTTATATACACACACATATATATATATATATATATATATATATATATATATATATATATATATATATATATATATATTATAACACCAATACACGCAATCTACATAAACCTACATCTTTTAAAACATTAATCAGTTTGTCTGACGATCGCTAAAGCGTGAAACCCAGGGTCACAAACTCACATCTATCCAACCAAATATGTTTGCTCTATCTCTGATATTGAGCGCTTTCTAATAAGTACCGCGCATATAATATATAAATAATTATACATATATATATTTATTTATATTTATATACACTTTTCACACACACACATATATATATATATATATATATATATATATATTATAAGAGATTATGAAAATATGTTGAATCGCTACACAAAAGATTTCATGTTTCTATACTATCATTGTACTTCTACGGGTGATGGTAAGTAACTGGTGGTTAAATGATTTTTTAAGTAAATTTAAAAACAATTTGTTACCGCTTTTATGAATGTTAACGAGGGACATAAGGTGAGAAATAAATATGAAAAAGTAACTAACGTTATCCCACCCTCTAAACTTACTTTTCTATTTAGCGTAGATCTGACATTTAATTGGTTAATCAAGACATACCCACAAGTTTATTTTAATTCTGCTTACTGTGACACACACACACACACACACACACACACACACACACACACACACACACACACACACATATATATATATATATATATATATATAGAAGAGAGAGAGAGATTTCATTTTAGGATATGGCATCTAAAGACATGTCAAAATCGCTACATAATTGCAGTCGTGTTTCGATGCGTATCAAAGCATCTTATCGGGTGATCGTAAATCTCTGCTGCGTGAACAATTTATTCAGATTTAAAAGCAAAACACAATCAGATGCAAATTATATACTTTATATATATATATATATATATATATATATATATACCTGTGTGTATGTGTTTGTGTGTGTGTATCTGTGTGTGTGTGTGTGTTGCCTATGTATGAGTGAGTGTATATATACAGGGTGTAAAAACTTTCCCACGCTAAAACAAGGAGAAAAGTCCATAAAAGCATATGTCCGCAATTCGTCCGTTTTTGAGTTATTAAGTTTAAATAAAGTTTAGGGTAGATGGCGTTGTGTTGTCATTAGGCTAGGTTATATTTTTCATTCGCGTACATTTGTGGCTAGTCTGTCTTCACCGTTTCACGTGTGTAGTAAGGAATTAGTTGAGGAGTGTTCCTTTTAACAACGGCAGAGTATTCCGTATCGTGAGCAGGCTCATATGATTTTTACATACGGCTTCATGAATGGTGATAGACGCGTGGCTTTCTGTAAACTTACTTATATATATATATATATATATATATATATATATATATATATATATATAAAAAATAATGAAATTTATTTTTGTCTACTGATGTTCTTTTAAACACATAACAGCCTCCCTATGTAGGCCATGCGTTGTTTTCCTTTTCCCCTCTTGCCTTCAATCTTTCCTATGAGTATCAAATTTTCCCAGCCACTTACCTCATTATGTACCTAGAAATTTTATCTGTCTCTTCCTAATGTTAATTAGAAGTGTCCTTTTTGTTTACATTTTATCTAAAACTATGTCATTCCTCACATGGTTGCTATATAGTATCCTCATAATATATGTGTGTCCGTGTTTGTTCGGATGTACATTAAGTGTATACGCACACATATAATATCGATTGCTGACAGCGGATAATCAAAATTGACTCACAATTGTTTTTCGCAAACAATTCTTAAAATTAACGCTGTGATTCCTGACCTTTAATAATCTGTGCTTCATTCGGACCCCTGGGGGGTGGGTATTATAGAGATTCCTGAAAATCTATATTCTCGCAACAATTTCACATTCAGTGAAGTTTAGTTCTTTTTACTCCATCAACCTACTGGGGGCGTGTTTTCACCCCCACACTGTGATCTTCAGTAACTACAGACTCACAATATCTATGCTAGAAGAGAAAAAATATAAAGCGTATTTTTTTAATTGTATTCATCAAATTAAATTCAAAGAAATCTTAAATAAATTATCTTGTTTTAGAAACTATTTCCCTATAGAGATGAGCCAATTTCTATGCAATTGTAGTTTTAGTAGTGTTTTATGGCATCACTGCACAAAAATATTTCAAATGGCAAAAAAAGGTCAATTCTTCATATCTTCTTAAATACCATACCACCACTGGAAAAAATTACCACGTCATCTCTGAAAAAAATACCGTGTCATCTCTGGAATAAATACCATGTCACCTTTGGAAAAATACCGTGTCATCTCTGAAAAATATCATATCCCCTCTGGAAAATCACTATGTCACCTCTGGAAAAATACTGTGTCACCTCTGATAAAAAATATCCTGTCACCTCTGGAAAGAATACCATGTCACCTCTGGAAAATATTATGCCCCATCTGGAAAAATACTATGTCACCTCTAGAAAAATACTGTGTCACCTCTGGAAAAATGCCATGTCACCTCTGGAAAAAATATCATGTCATCCCTGGAAAAATACCATGTAAGCTCTGGAAAAATACCATGTCACTTCTAGGAAAATGATATATAAACTCTGGAAAAACCCCATGTAATCTCTGGAAAAAATTAAGGCGATCTTGTCACTCTACAGATTTCTCTTTTTCATTATCTAGAGCTTGTCGTGCATTATTTGGAAAGTTAGTGAAATGGTTCCTTTTCTACGGTTTTGTAATTAATATGTATCACTATCTTAGATTTGTTGCCACTCAAGACTAAAGAAGCCCGTCTAAATACTATTTAATATGTGGAGAGGAAGAGATAGACGATAGATAGGGCAAAAGTGAAAAAATATGACAGGTTTTGAACCCGGTTCAACAATTCCTACTTGCTACATCCATAATACTCACCTACTTTGCACATACCTATATATTAAGGGTTTTACTTCAGGTATGTGAACAAAAAGGGTGTACGTCTCTTAAACTGGTTATAACCAAACACTACAGATCCAGGTCTACACTGTTAACCAGATCAAAACAAATCAAAAACCAGATCAAAAAACCGTCTACACTGTTAACCAGATCAAAACGAAAATGGAGTCTTGCTGCTATATATAGGTATGAGATGCAGTTTTTACATTCCGGACTTAACATCCCAAAAGTATTTCCGCGTCCTCGTCGATGATTAATTATTTTCTACCCTGCAACCTGTTTCCCACAGTCGAAAAGTTGCAAGCTTCTTGCTGCATTATCGCCACTTCCATGGAAAATATTCAGACGAACTAGATTCCTTAGTTCCGCCACTTTTAACCTTTACGGCTAAGACCCCCCCACCACCACCATGCCACGCCCATTGTATCGAATCACCGTTATTCCCTTTGTATCCCAATGGTAAGATGTAAACTCCACTCGAGCAGCTCCTCCTCGGGAAACCGCTGCTTTGCGGACCGGCTCCCAAGAGGATGCTTCCACCGATCATTACAATCTTACTCTGTTCAAGTCTAGGATTAACCGTTATCTTCCCCACATACCCCCATAAATTGTGGCTCGTTTCCGTTACGATCATACGAGGTACTATTTTTGACAAAAGTTGAGAAATAAAGTAGATTGCCAATGTCATTGTGGGTAGTGGAAGTTCCTTGACAGATTCGAACAGCGACACGCAACTGAGATATATAGAGGGAGCTGGTCAGGTGCTAAGGAGCGCAGCCACCGTACAAACGCATAATGGTCATGCAACTGATGATGAACATGATAATGTTGTTGATGATGATGATGATGGTTGTGCTGATGATAATGATAATGTTGATGATGATGGACGTAAAGACATTGCGTTCTTCATCCATTGTCAGCTTGAAGTCACCTCCACTTATCCACACTTGAAGGACCGTTTCTCGAGATCTTATCGAAGTGAATGACAAAGATCAACAGGTCGTCTTTCACATTTTAATTCTGTCTCCCTGAAAACAAAACTCCTTTTAAAAGTGGATAGACAATCTCCTGATTCGTGAGTGAGAGAAATGTATGTATTTCTTTTTCTCTCTCTCTCTCTCTCTCTCTCTCTCTCTCTCTCTCTCTCAATGATGTTTTAAGTATCATTTGGCAGGCACATGAATATTTAATATATATATATATATATATATATATATATATACATATATATATATATATTCATTTTAGTATATATATATATATATATATATATATATATATATATATATATGTGTGTGTGTGTGTGTCGAAAAAACTTCAGATTAGATTCAAACTCTAACTGTAAAGAGTCAGTGTGAATAACAACAATAGAAAAAAATTCTTACGCGACACATTTCATCCTTGATAAAAACCCTCAAAAGACGAAACGCATCAGCTAAGATAATTTTTCCTTTTTTCTTTATTCACCCCCTACACACAGACATATATAGATAGATAGATAGATAGATAGATAGATAGATGTGTTGTTATAAGTGTGAATATAAACTAAATCACGAGATATCAGCAACTATATATGCCTTTGATAACGTACATATACAGATAAGCAAATAAATATTTATTTAATCTAACGTTGTAAACAAAACAGTGCTGAATTTAGATAAACAGAGCTATAAAGTATATATTAATAAATACAAATATATCTAGATTTCTGGTGCAACTCGAAGTTTCATGGTTATCCAATTTATCAGGCTCAAATGGTAAATCGAGAGTTCTTTTTAGAAAATAAGTATTAAAACTTAAATAACTACAAACCTCGATATTTTAAACTATCTACTGTAAGCATTTTAAACCATTTTGCAGTATTCATAATTAATTTTATTAAGAGTTGGTTTCAATTCTTTTAATATAGATAGCTTCAAAAAAATTTAGATTATGCTTAATATTTTCATGAAAAAGTGTAGATGCATGTTCAATAGCAATTTTTCTGAATTGTTAGTGGGAACAGATTACCCGTTGTAAATGTTCAGACGTATCATTCAAATGAAAAATCAGTCGCCGAGGCAATGTGGTCGTAGTGTGACCAACATAAATATTATTTTTTCCGTTGGACATTTAAAGGTATATACAATGTTGGTTTTCTGCAAGACTTTCGCTGGTAGAGAAGAGTTGTTACGAATGATTGAAATAGATATACTAGATTTAGTGAAGTATATAATTAATATTATTTTTAATAGGATATAAAGGGAAATGTTAGTATTATTAATTTTTTGGGAGATTTTTATCTTGTTTATAATTAGAATATAATTGGTTCCAATAAAAAAGATTAATATTTTCGAGGTTAGTTAAAGAAGTATTATATTCTATTTGCCTTTTTAAAATTTTCTGATAGAACAGTACAATGTGAATGATTTAATTTTTGCACGTTTTTTTCTCGAAAGTACTCGGAATAAAATAGTATGTATCAACACGGTAATTTTCTCTCTTCCTTTTATAATGACGCCAGAAAGCTTGTCCGTGAATATGAAAGGATCCAATTGAAAATAATTAGACATAACTTGCCTAAATTATGAAATTAAAAATACCTCAATGAAAAAATGCCGCAAAACACACACACACACACACACACACACACACACACACACACACACACTTATGTGAATGTTGGCTGATTTCTTGTTTCCAAGTATAACGTACCATTTGGCACCAGCTTGGTGCCCTCACTCCCTGTCATATTGTTATTTTAGCAAACGCGCAGACACAAATATCCACGCATACATATATATATATATATATATATATATATATATATATAGATAGATAGATAGATAGATAGATAGATAGTGTGATATTTTAAAGTATTTCTGGTGTATTCTATTCATAGCAGAATATGATTCGATATTTCTTCTCACACAGACACCAAAATAAAATATTCATGTGCCTGCCAATTCTTTGTTTTGACAAAGTTGTGACAACTTCTCCTAAGTCATTTCATATGAAGTATTAACATCAGTAGTAGGCGTAACATAGATAGATAGATAGATAGATAGATAGATAGATAGATATGAACATATCGAGCTTTTTGTAATTTTAATCATTTCGACCCAAGCAAGGCAATAAAGCCGCTAAGACAGAAGGGGATTTACTGAGTGTGAAAGAATATGTGATACAGAAAAAAACATTATTAAGCTGCGAGAACAATAAAAGGAGAGGAATTAAGAAGAAAGAAGATAACGATTGACATTGCATTTAAATTTTTGAAGGTCAGATTTGACTGGTAAGCAAGAAGCCGGAAGAATGTTCCCCAAGCGATGAGTGCGATAGTAGAAAGTATTAGCATAGAACTTACGGTTACATCTCGCCACTTCAACTGTAAATTGTTGAGACTTAACTGCCATTCTAGTACTGCGCTTAAATCCGTAAAATCGATGTACTAAAGTGGATAATTCATCAAAACCATTACAATGAAAATATTTATAGAAAAGACAAAAAGAAGCAAGGACCGATAACACTGCAGGTTCTTCTTTGAATTTTATCAAAATTAAATGCATATAAGAAACAACAGTCCAGACGTGACAGCAGTGTTCAATGCATGGTCGAATAGTAGACATATAAATATATATACGGTAGATAGATAAATAGATAGATACGTAAATATGCATACAAACCAAACTGCAGTATGAAGAAATCACAGAATTTGACAATTCATTTTTTAAGAAAATTTTAATAGTTATATTCAGTTATATCCAGTTCGATGAATATTTTCCCCCTGATTCGTTGTTTTGCATACACCCTTATGCAAATTAATTGAAAAAACTGCTTTAGTTTCTTTTCTTTCACCATACGGTCGGTTTTAGACCCACTGGAGTGACAGGGTGTAATCGATTTCTATTTTTTCCTTAGATTAGGTCATTTGCAATGGTGTGTAGTAATCTGAATCTATTTTGGGGGTGTATGATGAAATTCGGTTGGCCTTGAAAAAATTAAGTCATCCGTGATTGCATCAGATTGTTATCACGCCCAGACACTATTGTCTCGACTATCGATTAGTTCCCCTACGGTCATTACAGGACTTTACTCCCAGGAAGTGTACGAAAATTGTAACTTTCACAAGCACACTGGCAAGACTTACCAGTAAGCAAATCAAAGTACTATCGACTGGCTCTGAAAAATCTCCTAATTTAAATCCAATCAAGAATCTGTGGTCAATCTTCAAGGAAAAACACTGATGAGCTGTGATACACTGAAACAGTCTGTCTGGATGACAATATATGCTCCTGAAAAACTTATTTCAGTTGAGATGTCTGGGGAGGAAGTGTGAGTTTGTAAACAGTTACTGCTAATAATGCAAGACACTTCAGTAAAGCAAATCGAGTTCTCTCAGTCACTGTGTATTTAGCTAAAAATAAATACGCTTAAATTCACCTTCATCCTTGCCGTGCGCCAACGGCTTAGGGGTAGAATCTCGAACTGACGCCAATTCAACTGGGTTTCGATCCTAGCTAGAGGCAACCGGTCGTCCAGCCACACTGATGAGCTGTGATACTGCGAAACAGTCTGTCTGTGGATGACAATATATACATACATATATATATATATATATATATATATATATAGAGAGAGAGAGAGAGAGAGATAGGGTGTAGAGCTAATCCGGCGGCCAAAAATCCAACTTACGGAAAGAATCGATATATTGGTTTGATTTTTGAGGGAATGGTTTAATTCAGCGGACATGTCTTTTACACAATGAACATAGAATAGGCTGCGCCATGGTCAGTTTTGTCGAATCTACTACAAAACAAAAACATCGCTTAAAACCTCGGTTTATGTCCTTAAATAATCTCCTTAAAGATCATGCATGGTAACAAACACGTTCAGCAATATTAAACTTTTCAGCTGCATACAGCGGCTTTCTTTTTAAAAAATAGCTTCGAGTGTGCTGAGATTGTTAGCTAGTAATATCTTTCTTTGAATCTTGTCAAATGACGTTACAAAATTACAAAAAAAAAAACACTTTTTGCCAAATAACAGAAATCATATTACTCGATAATTTTCAACAATTAAAATCATATATGTAACCAGAAGAGAAAATGACGTAATCAAGATGTTAACGTTACACTTTCAAACAAAACTCTAACGAGAGAAAGCCCCATCAATACTGGAAAGCGTGATAACAGCTAATAGATTTTAGAAAAACGTCTTATCCTGAAAAAATATCTTTTAATAGAAGGATTTTATGTATTTCAACCGACGATAACATCAACTGTCTGCTCAGTGAATATTGTAATGCTTCCTATATGGAAGCGTCCAATATTACCATTAGTATTATCATTATATAAAAACTACAGTGCATATGCATTTAAGATAGAGTGGTAAATATTCCTATGTCTGACTCTCAGGAAATAATGTCTGCTGTTTTTGGTTCACTAATAAGTATGAATATACTCCTCCTTTTTTATGATGCTTCTCCGGGGACAAATACAATGACGCCGACGAACAGTGCCATACAGATGATAAGCACTTGGCATATTAGCATTCCAATGCCAGCCCTTACGAACCGAATGACGTTCACTGAACAAAGGCTTTTATAGTACACAACATCCATAGGAGACAGGTGTACTGCTGGCTTTTGTTTTATTTTCGTTTTGTGCTGACAACTATATGCATTCTGAAGAGCATCTTTCTTAGCCACCCGGGTTGCTTCTTCGTGAATTCAATTGTGAAATTTTTTTTTGGCTGGTGGATAAATATTGGAAGCGATTTTATAGTAATAGATAGATAACGAGAGAGGGGGACAGATTGAATTGGGATCGAATACATATCAAGACTGGGTCCCACTCCGACATAATGTTAGGATGAAGAACAAATAGGAAAGGTTAATAAATCTAACATATTTCAAGTTTGCTAAAACTTCATCAGGGAATGAGATATGTAGAAAGGAAGAAATTCTAGGATATTTACGTTGAACGACTTTCATTGGTTAAGCATGCTTCACGTGTATTTGACTTGTTAAGCAGCGTTAGTATAAGTTATGGCATTCTGATGTCGCGTTCTTTCGAACTTTAAAAAAATACCGAATTCCAAGCCTAACCGAAAAAATATAAATGTTGTTTATATATGTAAGTCTATCATAATTCTAGTTTATCTATGTGGGATTCAGATAACAATGTACATTTATAATTCATTATTTATATTTGATGGTTATCTACTTGTTGATTTGGAGACTTTTTTTAAATTGATAAATATGAACAAACTAAGATAGATAGATATATAGATAGATACATGAGAAAACGCTGAGATAGATAGATAGATAGATAGATAGATAGATAGATAGATAGATATGAAGAGACTGAAATAGAGAGATAGGTAGATACGAAATGACTGAGATAGATAGATAGATAGATAGATAGATAGATAGATATGAACAGACTGAAATAGAGAGATAGATATGAACAGAATGAGATAGGTAGATAGATAAATATGAACAGAATGAGATAGATAGATAGATAGATATAGATAGATAGATAGATGAAATAGATAGATCCTTATATTCCCAAGCGATATGAATGTCATAGATAATAGAATGATATGAACAGACTTTTTTAGTTTATATGGATAGACTTTTAGGTAGATAGATAAATATGAACTTGAGATATTAGATCTAGATAGACCCCCCAAAAAAAATAATGCCGTTATTTTCCCCAATAAGAATGTCCTTGGGTTTGCAATTAATTTTATATGGATGATTTTTTGTAGTCTATCTTATAACATTATTCCTTCATAAAATACAATGCCGTTATTAATAAGTGCATGAACTTTTCAGCCTCTTCCTCCAGTGCCAAACCCTGAAATTATTTAATCTAATATAACATGCATTTCTGTATGAATTTAGTGAAATTAGTTATTAGCCCTCTCACACGCCGATTTCAATCCTCTGAGTGACCACTCTCTGTCTTTTATCAGTGTGGCTGATGCTAACATCCAGGTAAGTGACTGGAAAATAGTAAGGTTTTCTCATACTCCTAATAGCTTTAAAGGTAAATGCAATCTATGCCTACAGAAGAAGCTTAGAATTGTCAAATTTCAAAATCAAAAGATACTCTTAAAACAAAAGAACGAATTAATTTCTAAATACCGTCACCGTAGGATATTTGAGTTTACCTAGACTCCCATTGAGCCAGTATGAACTGTCATAGAAGGACATTCATCTGGGAATCTCTGCTCCTCTCCAGTTCAGACTGAACTCAATTGAGCTATTATCCCTTAAAAAGAAAACTGAACTGATCAATTAACTGTCACACCGAACATCTAACTTTTCTTCCCCCTCCTTTTATGCCCTTACTATAATTTCCATATACATATCCTGCCTCCATCACTAAGTCAGTAAGTAATTCTTGATGACAATCAATAATATCCCCAGGAAAGTTTCCCATTCTAATTACTTCGGTTGTCTTAAAATTGTTTCGATTTCTTTTACTGATCTTTGAGTTTATCTATTGAGTTATCCTTGATATCCAGTACATACTGGCATTAAATCTCCACCAAATGGATTATGACATGATAATAAACGATTAGGTAAGCTCTGGGCTAATGAAATATCATGTAACATCATGTTCTGGAAGATTAAATAAGTTCTTAAATTTGGTTGCATATGTGGATATATGTGGATGATGAGGTATGTAATCATGTATGTGTGTAGGTATGTATACACACACACACACACACACACACACACACACACACACACACACACACGCACAAGGAAAGTTGGCTCCCTGTGCCGCGCCAGGAAATTTTTCTCCCCGGAATCGATCCTCCAGATCTACAAATCAACAATTCGTCCTTGCATGGAGTATTGCTGCCATATATGGTCTGGAGCCCCTTCTGTTTGCCTCGGAGTCCTTGATAGGCTCCACAGGCGGACATGCAATGTAGTTCGCCCTGCCCTGGTGTCTCGTCTACAGTCACTTTCTCATAGACGCACCGTCGCCATCCTCTGTCTGTTCTACAAATACTTTCATGGAAATTGCTCCAAGGAGCTGCATTCGCTGGTTCCCAGACGTCATGAGTTCCAGCGCGCTACGAGGCTGGCATCCCGCTCTCACCCCTTCACTGTCGAAACTCCTAAATGTAGCCGTCTCTTCTACTCTAATAGCTTTATGTCTCGCACCTCTCGCCTGTGGAACTCCCTTCACTATTCCTGTTTCCCTGTGAGCTATAATCTCCAGCTATTCAAGTGTAATGTCAATATATATATATATATATATATCAGTGTGTGTGTTCATACGAATATACTTAAAATATGGACACTAGTCCTATTTCTTTACTGACATTTTATTATTTTTGCTAGAAATACGCCCTGCTGCCATAGAATACCCAGGCATTTCCCAAAGGTGAATATAAAAACAGTAACTAATGTCTTTTTTTAAAAGTAAACTTGCTTTAAAAATGTAGTTACCAAAAAATAAAAAGAAATGAGTTACCAAAACATCCAGAAAGTAAAAACATATTACAAAAATTGCCTGAAACCAATACTACAGCAGTATTATTTTTTGTTTGTCTTTTGCAGGCTGCAACGTGAAGAATTCGGTCTTTTACTGTCGATAAAGGCGTTTTGAGAAAAATGAGACGAAACTTTGCTTTAAATTTATCCAAAGTATAATATTTGTTCAGATGAAGTATTCTTGACATTGTGGAAAATTCTTTATTGGGTTTGGGATTCAAGGAATTAATAGATGTCTGGAAAGAACGGAGTATACTGTCAAATGGTGATAAAAATCCAGAGTGAAATGTGAACATGGTGAGGACTAAATTAACTTCAGAAAAAAAATCTTCAAGCTTCATTAAAAAACCAGCGAATGTTTTGGTTTGTTTGTTTAATTAGCCTTTCAACACTTCTAATATCTTTTTTCTAATTTCCGGTTGGTACTGGAATAGGAAATTTTCTATAACTTTGTACATTCACCGATCACCATAAATATGTTTCATTGGATAATATAGACATATTATGTCTATTTATTTTTATAATAATCCTTTCCAGTTCCCTAACCTTCTTGATGCTAAAATGGAATTCATCAAGGAAGGCGCCATAGTTTTTTCCTACCCAAGTACTTTCGATCTCCTCCAGAGATCATCCTCAGGGGTGAATTACAAAGACAAACTTATTCAAGCTGTGATCTTTGTGAAGGTAATTTTTAAAAAACAAAAAACGCATGTATGCGCTCTGTTATTATGTTAAAATTTTAAATTTATCCGTTGTAGCTATGGAATTTTTGCAAAACAAGCGTCTAATGTAAAGGAGCTAACCAGAAATTGATAGAAATTTAAAATGGCATTAAATGTTGGTTAAATGCACTTCGTAGCTACATTAGGGACACACTGGCATCATTCATCCCTGTAGAAGGTACCTGTATACTGATAGATAACCTGATGGAGATGTGGACATTCTGTTCTCAAACAGCGCACTTCGCAATGGGATCAGACATATCTTGGCACGATGAAGATTTAGCAATGGGATCGCCATTATCACCAGCAATGGCTGACATATACATATGGAATAAAAGTTTTTTTGTTTTTTTTAATCCAGTGACGTAACCCAAAGATTTGTGTGTCCAATATCTGGCTACAGCGGAGGGGAACAAAAACATGGAGAGTTGAGTTAAAGGGGGATAACTGATACTGAAACACCCGGAAGAGGTTTGGTACGTGAAACTAGAACAAATTAACACGGTGGATGAAATAAAGCGTTCGAATCGAAATTCCAGTCACCTGAAGAATGTCGAAACGTCGTGAATATGGCAACAAAGATAAGGAAAACAGTCCGAACAATCTAAATACAGTAAATAAATACAATACCTCATCTCAAAAAATAGGCAGATATGAATAACGGTATACAATCATTTTTATGCTTCACTTTCTCAATAAACAAAGAAGAAAACAAGACACCTAAAGTTAAATGGAAGATCGTCAAACAAGCGAGAACTTGTAGATCATTGTATGAACCTTGTTTTTTGTGTCCGCAGGAGAAGATGTGTATTATTAAACTTTTGAATAGTCGTCAATTGTTAAATCAAAGATTTGAAACTACTGTGAGTTGTAGACACGTTAAAGATTTAATCTTACAATCTTGCTAAACTTTTAACTTTATAATCACTTCTCTTACGTTATTTTACCTTCATACTAACATGTTACTGTTATTCTGACTGATGTATCCTAAATTATGGTTCTAAATAGATTTGTAATTGTATATTACTGGTAATAATGTTGGCTGTAAATAGATTTATACTTATATTACAAGTTATATGTTTTGGTAATAGGTTTAAATTCATAAAAAAATTATATTAGTATTATATACTTTGCATTATCCTTATTTTATAAATTTAATGTAATATTTTTAGTCTATATATATTTCGTATATTCTAATATTTTTACTTTTGAAAGGACCCTTTATTTACATACTATGTTTAATTCTATTAAATAATATGTTGTTTTCTTTAAGTAATGTCAAATTTTAATTGTTATATTGTATCAAAAATCTTTCAATTTAGTAGACACATCCGGTTAAATTTTGAATCATTCTGGTTTCGCTTCTATCTCAATGTTAACGTTCTTTCATTGACTGAATTGTTATCGACAAATATAATATCTCCTTTTCTTCTTTTTTTTCTTCTTTTTCTTTTTTTCTGTTATGATCCGGTTCCTTGTACCACGGGGATAATCCAAGGTAGAACCAATAAAGAAGAACTCGAAGACGGATATGGAATAACACAGATATATTACAATCAGAAATATATACAGAGAGGTAGAAAAGTGTTAGTACGAACATTCAGGTTTTGTAGTAATTGTCTGAACGCGACTCTGTTTCGGACTGCCTCTGACTCGACTGACTGAGTCGCTCTGACTGACTGACTGACAGACTACTGACGGACCTCACTCCAGACTTCAGACTGACTCAGACTTCAGACGGAACGGTATTTAGTCCCCTCACCCCCACGAGGGTATCATGTGGAACAAGGCTGGTTTAACGTGGATTCTCCGAACCCGTGGGCTCGGCCAAAAATATGCCCTTTGAACCCATATAAACGGTTTCAGGGTCGGTTTACCTCCCCGAAAGAGACTCCGCCCTTCGGCGTAGCCTCGTTCGGGTTCCTCCCTGCCCGAAGGCAGAGAGTTCAACCGATCAGTCGGTCAGCCAGTCACCCGACTTCAGACTGAACGGTATTTAGTCCCCCCACCCCCACGAGGGTATCATGTGGCACAAGGCCGGTTTAACGTGGGATCTCCGAGCCCGTGGGCTCAGCCAAAAATATACCCTTTGAACCCGTATAAACGAGTTCAGGGTCGGTTTACCTCCCCGAAAGAGATTTCGCCCTTCGGCGTAGCTTCGTTTGGGCTCCTCCCCGCCCGAAGGCAGAGAGTTCAGCCGATCAGCCGGTCGCCCGACTTCAGACTGAACTCCCTGCTTCCTCTTGAGGCGCAGTATTTATTACGTATGGAATAGTCCATTATGTTATTATGGGTAAGGTCCCATAACATGTTCTATTTCTCTGTATTCATTTCAATATATTACTCTCTTCTCCGTGTTTCTATTCACTTCTTTACTTTTTCTTCTTTTTCTTCGGGGTTGTGACCTGCTGTCTTTTAAATTTTCTTAATTTTTGTATTTCTCTTTCTTCTTTCCTTTTTCTTTTTATTGTCGTCTTATCCTTCTCTTTTTGCTTTTACCTGCCTTTATTATTTTTTTTTTCTTTCATAGAAATGTTTTTATATATTTCTTTCTTTTCCTTTTATGGTGTTTTTCCTTATGTCTTCCAAAAATAATTTCTAATAATGTAAAAAGTAATTGATGTCTCATAAGTAGCATTTTAAAATAAAATCGTTTATAACGATCTTTGTTGCTCACATGCTGAGATGTTTACGCATCGAAACAAATATGCATCTTTGTCGTGAATACTTGTTTGTCCGTATGTAACAACTTATAAAAAATAAATAACCATTGGTCTACTCTTGGTATTGAGCCCTTTTTAAATTAATGTTACGAACGTTTGAATTTATATTCTTTTCGTTCTCATTACATTTAGACACACACACACATACATATATATATATATATATATATATATATATATATATATATATATATATATATATATGGGGGGGCATATACGATTAATAAAAATATAAAATTTGAAAAAAAAAATACTTTGTTTGTTGATGTTATTTTTTAGCATCTCGTCTCGAGAGTTTCGAAGACGAACGCTCCAGGAATCGTCCCGTCCACTCATATACATAACTTTGTGCTTGCATGAGAGTGTGTAAGTCGTTAATATTGCGTTTACGTATGAAATAGATGGGTTAAATAATCCCACAATGTCACGTTTAAATGAGAGTCCCACGTGTACATAAAGCCCGAGACCAGGAATTTTTCAATCCC